CCAGCCAGGTCATTCCAGTTCTCTATTCTTCTCTTCAAGGAGGTCCTGGGTGGCATATAACATTAAGCACTCAACTACTCGACCAAAGGTTGGTGATTTGAATCCACCCAGAGACCTGGTGGTCTGCTTCTGAAAGGTTAAAACCTTGAAAACTTTATGGGGCAGTTCTACTTTGCATATATGGGGTCGTTATGAGTCAGAATTGACTTGATGGCAACTAACAACAAAAACATTCTTCTCTTCAATTTGAGTCAAACCTCTGTACTTTATCATTTTCCTGGAACCTGCTCTGTTGGAGTGGGGATAAGAAGAAGATAATACAATCTATCAAGATAATTACAATACACTAAAGAGGTATCAGGGAGCTCTGGTAGCATAATGCCTAAGGCACTTGACTGCTAACCAGAAGGCTGGCAGTTTAAACGCACTAGCCACTCCTCAGAAGGAAGGTTGGGCAACCTACTTCCATAGAGATACTGCCTCGGAAACCCAAGGAGGGGCTCCGATGAGTCGGGTCTGACTCCACGGCAAACAACAACAAAGAGGTATCAAATAATAAAAATGTCCTCCAGTTCTCAGCCACAAGGCCCTGCAGATCGAGTGCACACCACTCTCAAGCCCAAAACCATTTCATATTGCCCTTATGCCACACACATTCCTGATTGGCCCCTCCTGGTTCTAACCATCCAATCCTTTCTGACTGTGCCCATCTTTCTTAGACTGACCCCCAACCCTAAACACACAGGAGCATTCTGCCTGCACTTTTCCCAGAACATTTGTTTGTTCTTCTGGCAGTCTATGGTATATTCAATATTCTTCCCCAATACCTTGATTCAAATTCATCCATTCTTCTGTGGTCTTCCTTATTCATTGTCCATTCGACTTCTTGACTACTGCTTCTATGGGCATTGATTGTGGGTCCAAATAAAATGACATCCTTGACAACTTCAGTATTTTCTCCATTCAGCATAATGCTGCTTATCGGTCCAGTTGTGAGGAGTTTTGTTTTCTCTATGTTGAGACGTAATCCCTACTGAAGGCTGTAGTCTTTGATCTTCACCAGTAAATACTCAAGTTCTCTTTCAGCAAACAAGGCTATGTCATCTGCATATTGCAGTTTGTTAATGATTCTTCTTCCATTTCTGATGCCATGGTCTTCATACAGCACAGCTTCTCAGATTATTTGTCAGCATACGGATTGAATAAAAATGATGAAAGTATACAACTCTGACACTTATCTTTCCTGATTTTAAACCATGTAGTATTCACTTGTTCTGTTCAAATGACTGACCGCCTTTTGGTCTTTGTATAGGTTCCACATGAGTACAGTTAGTGTTCTGGAATTCCCATCCTTTACAATGTTGTCCATAATTTGTTATGGTCCACAGTGTCAAATGCCTTTGCATAGTCAATAAAACATAGGTAAATATCTTTCTAGGAGCTCTGGTAGCATAGTGCCTAAGGCACTTGACTACTAACCAGAAGACTGGTGGTTCAAATCGACCAGCCACTCCTTTGAATGAATGTTGGGCAATCTACTTCTGTAGTAATACCACCTCGAAAACCCAAGGAGGGGTCACTATGAGTCAGGTCTGACTTGACAGCAAATAACAACAACAAACATCTTTCTGGTATTCTCTGTCTCAGCCAAGACCCATCTGACATTAGCAATAATATCCCTTGTTCCACATCCTCTTCTGAATCCAGATTGAATTTCTGGCAGTTCCCCATCTGTATACTACTGCAACTGTCTTTTACTATCTTCAGCAAAATTTTACTTGTGTGTAATATTAATGTTATTGTTCAATAATTTCCACATTCTGTTGGATCACCTTTCTTTGGAATAGGCACAAATATGGATGGATCTCTTCCAGTTGGTTGGCCAGATACCAACTTACTATCTTCCAAATTTCATGGTGTAGGCAAGTGTTCTGGTTGCCTAGTACCACTCTGACAAGAATATATCACAAATGGGATAGCTCGAAGAAACAGGAGTTTATTCTCTTACAATTTGGAGGCTTTAAGTCCAAGTTCAAAGTGCCAGGCTCTAGGGGCTGGGTGAAAGCCCCTCAACGTTGGGCTTCAGCTCTGCCTCCTGCTCCCGGCCCACTGAAGCTGGAGACTCAGCTGCTGGCTGCTAAGACTGACAAGCCCAAGGTTGACAAGTAAAAAGGCACAGTCCCAATGTTACCAAACCACATGGCAGGCCATTAATTCAAGTCCATTGAAAGTTCCAAGGTCAGCAGAGCATGGCAGGCTGCTGAACAATGACATAGCTACATGTAGGGTTCAAGCTTGCCATAAACTAGAGACCTCCAGTGCAGCTTGGACTTCTTCCTTCAATATCATCAGCTCTTGATCATATGATACTTCCTGAAAAGGTTGAACATCAACTAACTTTTTTGTACAATGACTCTGGTTATTCTCTCCATCTTCTTTTGATGTCTCCTGTGTCATTCAATATTTTGCCCATAGAATCTTTCATTATTGCAACTCAAAGCTTGAATTTTTTCTTCAGTTCTTTCAGGTTGAGAAATGCCAAGCATGTTCTTCTCCCTTTTGTTTTCTAACTCCAGGTCTTGGCACATTTCATCATAAAACTTTACTTTATCTTCTCAAGCTGCCCTTTGAAATCTTCTATTCAGCTCTTTTACCTCATCACTTCTTCCATTGCTTTAGCTACTCTCAATTCAAAAGCAAAGTTTCATAGTCTTTGCTGAATCCATCTCTTCTAACATTCTTGTTTCAATGACCTTTTGCTTTCTTCATGTACGATGTCCTTGATGTCATCCCATGACTCGTCTGATCTTCATTAATTAGTGTTCAATGCATTCAATCTAATCTTCAGACGGTCTCTAAATTCAGATGGAATGTACTCAAGGTCACACTTTGGTTTCCATGGACTTGTTTTAATTTTCTTCAGTTTCAACTTGAACTTGCATATAAGCAATTGATGATCTGTTCCACACTTGGCCTTTAGCCTTGTCCTGACTGATGCTATTGAGTTTCTTCATTATCTTTTCACAGGTATAGTCTACTTGATTCCTGTGTATACCATCCAGTGAGGTCCACAGGTATAGTTGCGATTTATATTATTGATAAAAGATATTTGTAATGAATGTCATTGGTCTTGCAAAATTCTATCATGCATAAAGTTTATTAAAAAAAATTCTTGGGACAAGTGAGAAAACTGAATTTGGAATAGCTAGTAAATGATTCTTTCCCACTATCATCGAGTTGATTCCAACTCGTAGTGACCCTATAGGACAGAGTAGAACTGTCCCATAGGGTTTCTAAGGCTGCAAATCTTTACAGAAGCAGACTGCTTCATCTTTCTTCCACAGAGCAGCTGGTGAATTCAAACCATCAACCTTTTGGTTAGCAGCCAAATGCCTTAAACACTACATCACCAGAGCTCCTTAATGATTCTTAAGAATGTTCAGTTTCTTGTAGGTGAAAATGGTTTATATCTTAAGAAATGGCCCTTATTCTTAAGAAATACATGCTAAAGTATGTAAGGGTGACATGCCATGTTTTTTGTCCATTTGTTTATTTGTTTGTTTTGTTTTGTTTTTTGCAGCTTTACCTGTCAAATAGTTGGGCAAATATGAAAGCAAATATAGCATAGTGTTAAAAATTGTTGAATGTTAGTGAAGGACCTATGAGTATTTGTTGTACTATTCTTTCAAGTTCTCCATGTGTTTGAAAACTCAAAAGTTAAAAAAGACATAAAAAATAAATGTTTAATAATCTGCTGACTGACTGGGATCTTAAAAGCCTGCAAGCAGCCATCTAGATGCAATGACCGGTGTCTCCTCATCCAAAGCAAAAAAGAATGAAGAAAACCAAAGATTCATGGAAAGAATTAGTCATAGTGACTGGTACACCATGCGATTCGCAGCCTATACGACTATGAGACCAGAAGAACTAGATGGTGCCTGGCTACCACTGTCAACCACTTGGAGGGGGATCTATGCAGGAAATCCTGGATAGAGAGGGAGAACAATGTGGAACAAAACTCAGAATCATTTGGGGAAAAAAAGGGGGTGAAGGGACCAGGTCTGTTGGTCTGATAGAGCCTGGTGGAACCCCTGAGACTATGGCCCCTAGCTGCCCTTCAGGCCCTAGCCCCTTCAGGTCTGGAATTGAACTCACACCTGTGGCTTCCAGCAAACAAAAGAAAGGTATATGAGTTGAACATTTACCTGAGGTAGATTCTCTCCGTGGAGAGAACAATCATGGGAGAAAGAAGGGCTGTTTATGCACAGGGAGACAGCTCAGGGGGCAGGAGGGCATGGAGGGACAGACACAGGTAAGGGATAACTATCGGGAGGAAGTGGGAGGGGAGCTGCTGCATTGGGGTAAATTGTAATCAATCTCATGAGACAAAATGTATGGGAACTTTTGTATGGAAAGTGAATTTGCTCTGTAAATTTTCACCCAAATCACACTTTTAAAAAATGACACTGAATTACACATGTAAAAAAAATAATAATAATAACAATCTGCTGACTGCTGCTATAGTAGGAAAAATCCTATGTTTCTCGGCAGTCCACTAGACAATCGGGGGGGTGGGGAAATCCAGACTTGTGCCTTAGTAGCATCTTGGCCACTACTGGAATGGAAACATCTGGATGCTGTTTGTTAACATTGAAGTCTTGCCTGGGTCACACACACAGGTCCCCTTCCCCCTTCTCCTGCTCCCATTCCTCCCTCCCCTCCTCCATCTCTCTCCTCCCCAGTGCCCGAGGCGCTTTGAAGATGAAACTTGCTGAGTGCACCTACATTCAAGGAGCTGGCTACCTTTACTCAGAGGAGGGTGCGGGCCACTCCACCATTAAAGTACATTCTGGAGAGGCGTTGGACCCGGCAAACCGCCCAAGCCCATAAAGCGGCAAATTGCCCACAACCCATCTGCATAGCCAAGCCCCTTCAGAGTCTGAGCATAAATAGGGCTGAGAAGCCCAGAGAAGCACATTGGAGTTTCCACTCAGACTCCAGATCTTCATCCTGTTCTCTGCAACCCAGACCTCCAGAAGCACCATGACTTGTGGATCAGGATTCAGCTGCCGCACCTTCAGCTGCGTCTCGACCTGCGCTCCCCGGCCCGGCCGCTGCTGCATCACCGCCGCCCCCTACCGCGGCGTCTCCTGCTACCGCGGCCTCACCGGGGGCTTCGGCAGCCGCAGCGTCTGCGGGGGATACCGCTCTGGCAGCCGCAGCTTCGGCTACCGCTCTGGCGGCGTGTGTGGACCCAGCGCTCCCAGCATCACCACCGTGTCTGTCAACGAGAGCCTGCTCGCCCCCCTCAACCTGGAGATTGACCCCAACGCCCAGTGCGTGAAGCAAGAGGAGAAGGAGCAGATCAAGGGCCTCAACAGCAGGTTCGCTGCCTTCATCGACAAGGTGGGTGCCCGTGATCACACCCTCCCTGAACCCTCGCCCATGTTCAGAGCTCTGTTTGGGTACTGGGAGGGGAGTGAGAAGCAGAGAGCTACCCATACAGTTAGTTCTCAGTCTGATGGAGGAGACAACAGAGCCAGAAACTCAAATTCTGATTAATTGAATATACAACCCATAGGAATCAACTACTAAACACAGAGAAAATATAACACTCTGTACCCCTCCCTCACCCCACTCTGAATCTAGACAGACCTAGACAGACCTAGAGCAAGGGCAAGGCAAGAAGTACCCGCCTAATGAGAGGGTCACTTTATATATTCAGGACCACCCAGATCAGGACAGTCCCAGAAGCTCCCAACCCTGATAACACCCTAAGAACTTGATGTGACCTCTGTTCTTGGTTCTGAGGGGATGTGACAGGAAAGGGTCACCTGAACTCCAAAGAAACAATCAAAGAACGAGTAAAGTGGTTTCTGCCTCTGAGATCCCCAAGATAGAAGGTAAAAAGAAGGGAGTACTGACTTCCCTCTGCGTAGTCCTCGCGGCCACCATTTCTGCCTACCACTGGCCTGAAAGGGCATTTTCTGGTGTGAGGGAGCAGATCAACCTTGAACCAAACTCCTGACTTCTCCTAGCCTCAAGATTCTGTGATATGTCTTGATCCAGTATTATCAGAGAACCCCAATATCTGATAAATAAGGTCAAAAGAACAGAAGCAGAGGTTCAGTTTCCCCTTCTTTCCTTGTGTTGTATAGTTGTTTGGCACTATAATTTGGAATTCACATCTATATTAAACCATATCATCCAACCTTGGGAAATCTAGATGTTGTTCAATAGCCTATTAGAGATGTTCTGTATCAGATATTGCTCAATAACGTGCTGAATTCTCATTGAATGATAAAACCAAGAGTATGTCCAGCCTCTAGTTGGCTACCTTCTACCCACTCTCAGTCCCTTCCACTGAGCCCCTGGGTTGTGAGTTGCCAGCACTTCCTCCTCTAGCAAACCCCCATCTCTAAAAGGTGCTCAGAGCCATCTGATCCCTTCTCCACCCCACCCCTTGGCAGGTGCGCTTCCTGGAGCAGCAGAACAAGCTGCTGGAGACCAAGTGGCAGTTCTTCCAGAACCGCAAATGCTGCGAGAGCAACCTGGAGCCCCTGTTCGAGGGCTACATCGAGACACTGAGGCGGGAGGCTGAGTGCGTGGAAGCCGACAGTGGGCGGCTGGCCTCAGAGCTCAACCATGTGCAAGAGGTGCTGGAGGGCTACAAGAAGAAGTGAGTGCAGGCAGACAGTCATTCTGCTTTGGCATCTGTCCTCAGGGCCAGCTAAACTAGCCTTGCAAGTACCTGTTGCCCATTTGCTGAAGCCTAGTGGCTATTTAGAGCTGCAGATTTGAAACCTCATAGCTTTGTTAATTTCCCTGGACAACTTCTCATAGACTAGAAATTTGGAGAATTTTGGTCTAAAAAAAGTTTATCACTTAGATTTTCCATACTTCCTTAAAACTCCTCAATTCTTTGGCCTCTCCACTTTGTGAGTTTCTGCTATTTGTGGGAATTCAAGGTTCTGAAACTTCAACCACAATTATGATAACTGGATTGGTAAATATGAGTAGTGGTGAGTCTTTCATTATTAGAACCCTTGCAAGTACACATTAGAGAGATTTGACAAAGTCCGTGCAATTGTCCTAATATTTATGGGGCAGGTAATTTGTATGAGGCCTTTGGGAAGCATAGAATTTTATAGACTGCTGATAGCTAACACGAACTTCAAGCTACCAGGCAGTGGAGGATTTCCATGGGGCTGGTAAAGATGCTTTTTGGGCCTCCTTCCAAGGAGGAGAAAAAGCAAGGTGAGAGCCCCTGCTGGGGCAGGACATAACCTGCTCAGGAGAAGGAATCTCACTCAGACCCCAGCCCTGCCTCTCTAGGAACATGAGGGAAATCTGATGTCATCTTCTCCCTTTGCTCTATGCCAGGTATGAAGAAGAAGTAGCTCTAAGAGCTACAGCCGAGAATCAATTTGTGGCTCTGAAGAAGGTAGGTGCCCTCTGTTGATTCTGCACACAGAGCCCAGGCTGGGCCCTATGGGTGTGGAAAGTCTCCAAGGAGACTCTGTTCTCAGAGACACCCAGGTTGATGGGGACACTGGCAAAGTGGTCCAGGACACAGACCTGAAGAGCCAATGGCAAAACCAGGAGTAGTGAGAGAATGGGAGAAAGAGTCAGAGAGCTGAGCTGGGCATGAGTCTGGTTAGGCTTCCTGGGGTGTGCAGAGAAGGCTGGGCAAGAGTAAGGGTGCAGGGCAAGGGGAAGAGAGGTGAGGCTTTCCCAAGGGACTGTCCAATTTGAGACTTGCATTGCAATCGGAAAGGATTAACTTGGGCCTTTGAACAACAAAAAAACAAGGGTTAGAGAGGCCCCAGGGACCCTGGAAGGCAAAGGATAAGCAACTTGAAATAAGCAGGGAGATTGTTTCATGGCACATGACTCCTGTGCAGTCGATCAACTTATAATACAAATTCACTCCTTGAAAAAGACAGAAAGACTTTGGAGACAGTGAGGATTTAGGGAGGATTAATTTATTCCTTTTCTGACTCCCACACCTCAACAAAAGGGGTTTGGTTATACCAATGTGGAGGTGCTGTGTTCAAAAGTAAGATGAGATGGGTGGGTGCATGGGGCCAGGATTGGTCAGGACAAGAGGACTCATAGTTTTCTGGGATGGTCAGGGCAGATCTTGCCCACAGACAGAGGGATGGATAAAATGATCTCCCAGGGTTGCTATGGACCCCTAGAGCCTAACATGTCTTGTTCTTTAACAGGATGTGGACTGCGCCTACCTCCGCAAGTCAGACCTGGAGGCCAATGTGGAGGCCTTGATCCAGGAGATAGACTTCCTGCGGCGACTGTATGAAGAGGTGAGGGGGCGTGGCCCAAATAGAAATCCTGGAAGCTAGTTTAGAAGAAGGACTCAAGCCTGGAGTTGAGGTGTTGGACAGGGGTTTGGACAGGGAGCTGCAGTCATGAGGCTGCCAGGGCAGGGGCTGGACACCAGGGGCAGCTTTGGAGATTGGGTTCAGGCTGTGGTCTAAAGTTCATTTCCCTCCCTCCACCCTAATCCCTGCAGGAGCTCCGGGTCCTCAACTCTCACATCTCAGACACATCAGTCATTGTCAAGATGGACAACAGTCGGGACCTGAACATGGATAACATCATTGCAGAGATCAAGGCTCAATATGATGACATTGCCAGCCGCAGCCGGGCTGAGGCTGAATCCTGGTATCGCAGCAAAGTGAGTGACACATGACAACTGCCTCCTGTATCATCTCTCTGTGGATCTGATGCTTAAGAATATTGTAGAGGATCCTTCCCTAGTGATATATAAGGGTAGTGCAAACAGTTCCCATTGGGGTGGCATGGGCAGGGTTGTCATGTGTGATTGTGCAGGCTGAGCACTGCACAACTTGCATAATCATTCCTGGCATTCCTGCTTCTTCCTACAGTGTGAAGAGATGAAGGCCACGGTGATCCGGCATGGAGAGACCCTGCGCCGCACCAAGGAGGAGATCAATGAGCTGAACCGCATGATCCAGAGGTTGACGGCTGAGGTGGAGAATGCCAAATGCCAGGTATGGGTCAGTCCATGCTCAAGACCAGAAAGGTTGTGGCCTTCCTCAAGGCCACACAGCCAGTGTCTGCACAATCTGGATCTCCTCATTCATTCTCCAGCCCCTTTACAAGACTAGAGTCCCTGGTTGTTGTCACTCAGGGAGACCCAAGAGATGGAAGAGAGAAAGCCCTATTCCTGGGGTATTTGTTCTCAGCTGAGTGGGAGAAACTGAGCAAATTCAGGAAACGGACAGAGAGACCCAGGGACCATAACTTAACTTTATTCTCTTCTGGGCCCCTAGAATTCCAAGCTGGAGGCTGCAGTGACCCAGTCTGAGCAGCAGGGCGAGGCAGCCCTCAGCGATGCCAAGTGCAAGCTGGCCGGGCTGGAGGAGGCCCTGCAGAAGGCCAAGCAGGACATGGCCTGCCTGCTCAAGGAGTACCAGGAGGTGATGAACTCTAAGCTGGGTCTGGACATCGAGATCGCCACCTACAGGCGCCTGCTGGAGGGCGAGGAACAGAGGTGGGTACCACAGTCAGCTTTCTTTCCTAGCCTTGCCTGGGTTTTCAACATGCCCTGGCCCTCACAGACACGATTTGACTTCTGTTTCCAATCCTCCCTCTCCTGCAACTGGGCAGATTATTTGAGTAAGTCGTTTGAGTACTATTTCTATTCCCATCTGAGTCTCTCAGATCCACCTGGACCTCCAATTTGTGTTGGAGCCTTTTGCAAAGCACACATTTGTTCCTCAGAATCAGGAGTCATCCCTGTCTCTGAGAAGCTTCACTCTAGATTTATCCCATACTGCTGGCTTCAGATGGAGGATTTCATCAGCTCACCCTTATCTATTCTAATGGGTCCCTTTAATAGTTTCCTGCTGCAGCAGGTGGGACTGAGATTAAACAGCAGGGAACTTGTCCCTTGAGGTGGGTACCTTCCACTCTTGGAATCTTTGCCTTTTTACTTGGTTCTCTTCCCCCGCCCCCTCCGAGGCTGCTTCCTCCTCATTGGTCAAAGTCTGCCCAGCAGCACCAGCTCCTATAAGGAGCTTTTCCCAAATTTCTCCAGAGACTCTCCTCTAGGGGGACAAGGATGGAGGGTGAGGATATAGACAAACATCCAGAGCACTTCCTGTATAATGGGAAGATGGGGACAGCCAACAAACTTCGGTACATGGATAGGAGAACTCAGAGACACTGGGTCTCAGCAGCAAAGAATTCTGGAAGGAGGAGTTTTTTGAGCTGGATATGGATGTTGGAGAAACACGTGGAGATAGCACTGGAAACTGGCAGGCCCAGCTCTCCACCACACAGGGCCCTTGGAGTGAGGTCAGAAGCTCTGATGTTACCTTGGAAACCTGGACATGGGTCGCTTAGATGGTGGGCTGGGGATTCTTCTCCTGCCTGAAGCTGATTCCCCTTTGCCACTGTAATCTCAGGGGACTCAAGTTGGTTTCCATCAGGGACACAGTGTTGTGAGGGAAGGACATGTAAGCTGGGCTGAAATTAAGTGGTCTTCACTATAGCCCTGCCTCTCTCATCGGTCATTTCCTCTCTCTGGGACTCAGTTTTCCCATCTGTCAAATGGAGGAATTGATAGTGTCTAAGCTCTTTTCAGTTCTGAAATCCCATGCATTCATCAACAATTATTGCTGGAACCAGCCTTATTTTAGGGACTGCCTGTTCTGTAGTAGGGAAAAGAACAGACCAAACCTCTGTCCTCCTGAAGCCTACATTCTAGTGGCACCACCAGATTAGGGAGTTCGGTTGGGTGCCCCTCAAATGCATGTATAATTTAATCAGCACCAACATAGAAGCAGCAGCTGCTAGCATTGCTCACTGTGTGCCAGGCACTAAGCACTTTATCTGCACTATTTGATTTAATAATCACAGTAGATCACAATAGGTTTATCACAATAGGTTTTCACAATGAGGAAACCTAAAACTGAGAAAGGTAAAGATCTTAGGTAGAAGTTGCACAGCTAATAAGGGGTGGAGTGTGCGGAGCAGGAAGGCATTCTGTCTCCACAACCACGTGGTGACCTGGTGCTATGCTGGCTCCTGGATTAGCCTGGTTATTGCTGCCTTCCCCTGGGCCAGTGACTGGGAAAGGCACAGTTCTTACCTTCCATCTCGGCCTGGTGGTTCTGGGCTTTTCCCCAGTACTGACCTCTCTCTCCCTTTTCTTCTTCCAACAGACTGTGTGAGGGCGTTGGCGCTGTGAATGTCTGTAAGTAGTCTGAGCCCTCTTCCTTCTCCAGGGGGTGGTCCGAGGTGGGGACAGGGGGTGGTTCGCTTGTTGCAAAGCAGCCTGGCTGGGGCTGTGTCTGACATGCACCTCTGCCTATTCTCCCCACTTCAGGTGTCAGCAGCTCCCGTGGTGGTGTCGTCTGTGGTGATCTGTCCACCTCCAATACTGCCCCTATTGTCATCCCAGGCAGCCGCAGCATCCCCTCCAACACCAACGTGCTGGTGAACACCAGCAATGCCTGTGCCTCCTTCTCTGGGGCCAGTGCCTGCAGTATGAGCTGTAGGAAATGCTAGGAGGCTATAGCCTTGGCAAGCAAACATCACTGCCACCCTCTGACCCGCCAGGACTTCATGCAACCGGGACTTACCTCCTGCTGCCTCATCCACCGCCAGTCACCAAAACTAGTCACCAGATGTGTAGTTTCTTCACACCCTCTCTACCGGCGCCTCGTGGGTAGACTGGGCCAGCACCTTGGCCTCTGTCTGTAGCCTTTCCTAGTAGTCAATTTGTTGGACTCTTTTCTTCTGCCTCCTGTTCTTTGCTGGATTTATTGGTCCTGCCTGATCCCTTCGCTCAAGCTTGGAGAAAGAGGGCGAGCCCCCAGCATCTCCCTGTCTGCACCTCCCGGAATCTCCTAGAATACTTCAACCTGTGGAATGGAGATAGGAGATATTGAAGGTGGTTGTTTTGTAACTCTGTGGGAGAAGGGAAAATCCCTCCCTTCCAGAGCTGCCTGCAGAAGCTTCTAGAAAGCCAATGACTCAACTGCCTGCATGTTTACCCCTGCTTCACTCTGTGTTTTCAATAAACTAATTGTAGCGAGTCAAACCTGGTGCCTCAGAGTCTTGAAAATGCCAGTGCTGTCCTGTGATAGGTGTGCCCTGCCAGAGATCTCCTCAGGACCTCTCCATCTGCCTAGTTATGTTTCAGTAGGTAAAAATGACTGCAATAGATGTTGCCCATCTGGTCTTGAGCAACCCAAGCCTTGGAGTAAACAAGGGAACACTCCTGGAGGCAGGCAAATTTGTGGAGTCAAGGGCTTCTCTAGCCCAAGGTTTCTTGACTTCAGCACCATTGGCATTTTAGGAATTAATTAATTCTTTGTTGCAAGGCTGCCTGTTCATTGTAGGATGTTAAGTGACATCCCTGGCCTCTACCTACTAATAGCCAGTAGCACCTCCCCTCCCCCCGGTTGTGACCACCAAAGATGTCTCCAGACATTGCCAAATGTCTTCTAGGGGTTCTCAACCAGGGCAATTTTGCCTCTGAGAGGCATTCTTGGTGGGAGGCATTGCATGAGGAATGGTGTGGAGGTGAGAATGGAGGAAAGACATGTGAGGAAAGCAGTGTGGGGAGAGGGAGAACATTGGTTAAGGGTCAGAGGACTGGGTTTCCAGTTCTGAGTCTTGACCTGGCTCTGCCATTTAACAAATGTGTTTGTTTGGCCAAGTAACTTCCACCCTGGGAACTTCAGTGTCCTTGGCTGTATGAAGGAAGTTGGCAATACTTCTAAAGTTCCTTCCACCTACTTAAGTGAGATTGTGTTTGAAACGGTTTTGTTAACACAGCCCTGTGTTTGAATGATGGTTCATCCATTTATTAGTTCTATAACTGTGGGCAAGTGACTAATCCTTGCTGAACTTTGGCTTCTTCATCTGTAAAATGAGATTGTGCTATAAATTGGACATACTGGACTATCAGGAAGTATTGATATCCATTTCTGGGTCTGGACATTGAGATAGCCACCTACATGCATCTGCTGGAGGGCCAGGAGCACAGGTGGGCCCAGCTTTGAGACCAGATGGATCTGTAGTTGTCAAGTAAAGCAGCTTTTGATTTTTAATATCCTGAGCTCAGTGCTTGGGGAGGGATGGTTGCCTGGGAGGTGGGATGGCTTGCTCTTCAGATTTTGACTCAGGCTTCAGGGTTCACAGCTGTCAGCAGCTCCCAAAGTAGAGTTGTCTGTGGAGACCTCTGTGTGTCAGACTCCCGACAAGTGACGTTCAGTGTCTGCAGAGTCCCCAGCAGGAACCTGGTGGTAAGCATTGGGATGTGTGCCCCATGTGCCCCCTGCGGCCCTAGCAATTCCATTCACATCCTGTAGCCTTGGCACCAGGAGCTGCCGGAAGTGTTGGTTGCCCCAATGCAAACCCTGAGGCCAAAGCATCTCCCATCCAGTCTCCCTCCACCAGACTTGGCTCAGCTGGCCCAGCCCCTGGAACTGGAGTGAGCACTTAGATGCATATGTTGCACTTTGAAAAGGCCATTTCACTCCCCACCTCTCATTTCTCTGTGTGAGCAACTCCTTCTTGGCTCTGCCTCCCTTCCCAGGGAAAGTTTCCCCCAAAGAAAAGCCACCTGTTGCCCACAGGAAGGAGGCTCAGGGGAAGAGGGGGCCAAGACCAGGACCCAATTCTGAGCCAATGGCCAGAGCACCCAGTCTCTCCCTCCCTCCTCTGCCCTGTTCATCTCTGTCTGTGTTTCCCAATAAATCAACATAGCCAGCTGCCCTGGGCCTTGTCTGTGTCTCTGTTAAGTTTCTCAGGGGCCAGGTTTTGCGAGAGTCCCCAAAGTCTCCTAGAGCAGACTTTCCTAGCCCTGGGATCTCCAGTACAGTCTTCTACCCCTGGGCTTACAGCTTTCTCAGAATTAGCAAAGACATGATGCGATTTTATCAACACACACTTAATGATTTTATCCACACAATTTTAATGCATCTTGTAGATTGAAACACCAGAACTCAGAGATGTTCAATAACTTGGGCAAATTCCCAGACTCAGTTGGTGGTATAGATAGGGTTTGATCCTTTTGGGTGTCTCTAGTATTCATTTCCCCAAACCACAGCAGCCTCCCAGAAAACATCCTTGTGCTCCTCTGTAAACTAGTGGATAATGAAGATTAGCTAATCATCACACAAAGCTTTAGGAAGCATCACTCATTTCATTTCTAGTGGGGAAGACTCATGCCTGAGTAATTTATTGGAATTCTCTAAGGGGTAAATATAGGAACATGACTGAAACTTTCAAAAACCTTTTCCATGACTCTGTGTGTGTGTGTGTGTGTGTGTGTGTGTTTAATGAAGTCACTTTTAGGTTTGGAGACCTGCCATAGGTGACAAATAGCCTCAAAGACAGAAAACAGCCCATAGCAAGAAGATGATGTGGCATAAAGATGAAGAAACAGACTGCAGCCAGGGTGCCTGGGTGCAAAACAGGGCCTGTTCCTTCATGCCATATGACTTGGTCAATTTACTTACTCTCTCTGTGCCTCAGTTTCCACATCTCTAAAGTGAGGATAATAAAAAGAGCACCTGTCTCAGGGTTGCTAGGAAAACTGAGTAATTTAATATACATATAATGCTTAGACAGTGCCTGCCACAAAATAATCACTATATGCATCTATCATTAGTATTATTGTTTTGCAGAATATAGAGTAGAAGTCCCTCCAGGATCAGAGCCAGGGCCAGTCTCTTATAACACATCTGTGATCAGAGATTGCAAGTACAGGGAGAAATAGCAGGGAAATCTCCCTTGACACTGAAGAAGATCTTACAGTTGCAGCAGGAGTGGGAAGATGGCAGCTCTGCTTCACTATGGGCCAAGGTAAGTCCATAGAATACATCCTTACAGCAGATTTATCTCCAAACTTCCAGTCCCAGTTCCAGAAAACTGTAGCAGAAATGGATGCTCCCTACCCCCACTCCACACCTCACAACAATAGAAACTATTGAGAAAATTAAGGGGGAGTGGGGGCAAAAGGAGGTGTTTTGAGTCTGAGAAGACAAAAGAATAAGATCAAGACAAAGTGTTCTCACCACTAACATGGTCCCTCTACCCCTTGATGGAAATCTGAGCAGAACAGAACCCTTGAATTCCAGACTATGATTATTCTCACCAGCCCATACACTGTGACACCACACAGCTCAGAAGCAGGTTCCATCAGGAGTCTAGAGTTGAGATCAGAGGACCAGCTCCATTTTTCCATCCCTCTTCTTTCAGAAACCAACGCAATTCCAGTCCAGATGGACTTATCGCTGGCAACTGGCCTCTCACTGGTTTTATCAACACAGCTGGACTTTGATGGCCTGCTGGACTTCACTCTCTCATCCTCCCTCCAACTGTGCCCCTCTCTTCCTTCCATGTCAGTTCCACAATCCTCTCCTCCTGGATGCCTTCTCTCTAGATTTCCCTACTGGACAGGCTTAGGCAGAGACACAGGTGAATGAATCAAACACGTGTTGAGTAATGCCCACAACAGTGAAGAAAATAGAACTACTCACTATGCGGCCTTAAGCGAGTCATCTCCTCTTTCTGGCCTCAGTGTATTCACTTGAAAAATAAAATGTTTGGACTAGATGGCTGCTAAGATCCTTCATTAATCTAAAGCTTTATTATTATTATTATTATTATTATTATTATTATTAGGAGAGATGAGATAGGAAAAGGTGAGGTGTTCCAAAAGAAAGAAGAGTTTATGAAAGAGCAAAGACCCAGAGGCAACTGGAAACAGAAGCAGATACTGAGGAAAACTATGGGTCCAACCAGCTAGAGGGAAGTGGGGAGCCCAGACTCCATGAAGCTGTGCTATGTGTGTGTATGTGTGTGTGCATACTGTCGGTATATTTATTCTGCAGGGCTTGGTGTTTATATGTAGCTGTCTATGAGTGGAACAGTAGGACTGCAGACAGGTAAACACATCTCTAGGCAGCTGTGTGGAAATATGTATGTGTTTGTGTGCAGGTCTGCAATGCTTTCAATATCTAAGTGTGATTATATGGTGAATATGTGCATGAGTGTATATGTGTGCTGAAGAGGGGGATTTTGTAGGCATATGTGGATGTGAGTGCAGTGTGGGTGCACTAGTAGACCCATGTGTGCAGGTAAGGTAGAGTCATAGATGGAAAACTGGGATAAAGGAGGCGGAGCAAGATGGCGGACTAGGCAGAAGGATTGCACAGACCCTCTTCAACAAAGAAAAGGGAAACCAATTAACACAGACACAGAAGATAAT